CACAGCCACGCCATCTGGTCGTCCACCTTCGGCGCTCAGATCTACTAGCACCTTAGGCGGTTCCGTGTGTAATGTGTCGACACTGGCAAAGTAAATCCGGCTCTGACGCATGTCCGCCCAGAACAAATTCCGGTTCAGCGGATCGAAAGCTAATCCGGATACGGAACCATTACCTATACGTTGCACTGCCTGCTCCACAATGTGCGACGCAACCGCAGCATCGCGTCGCAGCGAAAATATGCTGCCATTCTGATGCTGTTGATCATTAAAATAGATCACTTCCTCAGCCTCATCGAAAGCCAACGCTGATATCCCCTCGAATTCGTGGGCAGCAGAAGAGACTGTTTTAAATTTGTTGTCGAGAAACAGAAGCTTGTCGCGTAGCGTAACGGCAAAGTCTGAAAAGAAATGCGAAATCTTCATTAGTTGGCATTTAATACTATCGATAAGATAAGAACAGTCATTGGCTATTCATAAATGGGTATTGGAACGCAATTTCAGGCAGAAGAGGAAAATACTGTTTTGTACATATAGTTTAATTGACGATTACCTACATATAAAAGACAACTATCGACGTCAAAGAGTTGTTCTGAAATAAGCTAAAAGGGATGTGAAGCTGTTTCATGAGCAATCATATGGAACATTTAGTTCAATCAAAGGAACTGCTTAGGCGGCAGCAAGAGGAATCTACTAAACTTCTAGAGATCGGTATTGATGTGTATCGAAAGAATATGTGTTCGGCTTTTTGTAAATAAATGTGGAGCAGGGGCGGCGGAGTAGGACCTGGTGCAACAGCAGGCATATTGAAAATTAAGTTCGATCAATCGTATTCAATTAAGTTTGCGCCACATTTTTACTACACCCTCTGAGCTGTCGCTTTCTACATTGATTATTAGAGGCATATAGTATTTCAATCAATATTAATTTTATTCATATAAATTTAGAATTTATACTCGCATTTCATTCAATTACGCGATAGTATTCTTAATTACTTTGATCGTTAGCAAATTAAATTGATAAGTTTCATTTACTGCACATTTACAATTTTTAAATATATTAATATTTAAGATGAAAATAGTTAAAATTCGAGTTAATTAGTGTTATTAGTGACACTTCCCGTTATCGAGCGATTACTGTATTAATTTAATGACGATCGAATTATGAGATGCATGACATCGTTGCACAACTCTCCCACTGAGCGCGTCCGATTGATAAGATAACAAGCGATTGACCCAGGGCACAAATGGAAATCCCATGTGAAAATTTCCCCGAAGTAAAGAAAAATATGCATAGGCCAGCAGGCCAACACGTAATATGAATAAAGGTTGCTATAGGTGGCTTTGCTGACCACCTTCACACGTAAATCACGACTTAGTAAAAAGAAAGAACGTCAATGCAAACGAAAAGTTTTAAGAATCACCAGCAATCCAGATATGCTAAAAACAAACCATACAAAGCAAAGCCAATTGTTGTCAGACCGGTTGAGCACCCAAAAAAGGTCCAACTCTGTGGCCAACATGCAGCTGTTAATTAGGCATTTATTTGAATACATTTTAATGAAGTGCCCGAGCAAACAAATATAGTAAACACAGGCATCGCGGAAACAGGCTACAGAACTACATGACAAAGATAAAATAAAACAAAATAACGGAAGTTGCGCATTGGATATATAAACGCTTGTTTGTTTGCGAAGGCTGCAACAGGTGTCGGCGAATGGGCTTTCACTTTCACAGACGACCTAGCGATCGATTTATCGATTTATCGATACATAGATTGAGGTATTACGGTCAATAATTGATTGGCCATTGACCATTGACCAACATTTGTGGGTCACTGTTGCGTTTCAAGTATCGCGTGGCTAGCTCGCTTTGACATTACAAAAACCAAAATAAATAGCAAAAAAAAAAAAGCGAGAGATAGATTAACTTTGCCTAGACGAAGTCTAAATACCCTTGTCCCGTTTATATAAATTCTAATGCAATCTTTCCCACAAATGAGGTAAGTGTTTAAAGACTAATATACTATAAGAGAACCTAAAAATTGATCGATTATTGTTATAAGACGAACAATTTTCAATCATCTCGTTTTGTTTTTTTAGTTTCTTACAGTCAAACTAACAAACATATTTCATGTGCACCATCAAATTATCGTAAAAGGTAAGATGGCACCCATGCCAAGTTTCGCAGTTATGTTACATTTTTCGTGAGCAGCTGATAATGACCCCCTGGCAAGGGTATACATAGTTATATATAGCCAATCGTTAGATGTTGTCTATATACCGATATATACATATGTATGTATACATTGGTATATATGCACATGTTTTACTTAATTTTATTTGTTTTGTATATATTTTTCGCGAACCTTTCCAACGTTTCGAGCCGTTGTAGTCCAATATATATATATGAGCATATTTTAACCTTCGCACTTGGGGCTTTGAGGTCAACGGCTTATCGATGCAGAAAAAATGTTGAATTTTTAAATAGATTTACATGTTTATAGCTTATTAGCTAAATAAATGTAAGCTCAATAAAAATCATTTAATATTTTAGTACCGCCTTTCAAAAAGGCAATTCGTGCGATATGGATATACGGCCCTTTTTTTTCATTAATTCGTTAAGAAAAATTTAACAAAACAAAGGCATCGAAGAAATCTCATCTTGTTTGTTGTTTTTATTAATTTTTAATTTCAATTCTATTTTTGTTTTTATTTTTTAATTTGCTTCACAAAATCTGTAATATATACACGATAATCCAGGGAGCAATGACACAGACCTATTGCCAATGTCAGATAATCCTTATGAACTCTACTTAAAAATGAGAAATATTCAGCAAGTCTTAGCTTCGAGCTGAGATTTACTTGAAGCTAAAAATTTCAATTATTAAGAAAAATTTAGTAATATAATACTAGGGAGACTTTCTCTTAATCGGTATACAACAATCTTGTAAATATAACTGAGAAAAACCTGTTTCATCAAATGTGTATTCAAAGCCCGTTGTTAGGAAAGAGTTCGCTCAACATTTACTTAGTAAATATCAACAGATGTTTGTATAGGTATATTTCGTGAATACACCTGTGAATAATACATGTATTCTATTTAATCATTAAGCTTTAATGAACTCGAATTCTCTTTGATAGCTTTGCTTCTTGTCCTACATAAAACCATCGAAGCATACTTGAGATTTTTTAAGTAAATAATAAATGAATATCGATGATCAATACCAAAACAGTGACTTAGGATGGATGAAAAATTTACGATTGTTGGAGTAACTCAAATCTGTTTTCAGTACAGGTGCATTGGTCGTTTTCGTAACCTGTTTATATGAAATTCTAATTAATGAAAATGTATACAATTAATGTAACTTAGATTTACTGCAGGCAGCAACAAGTGGCTCTTTCGGCTAGCACGTGGAACGCATGAATGTCGATTACTTATCGGATCCGTAACTCAAATAGCTACATATGGATGTATATAAAAGTACAAATTCACATGCATAACTATATACATATATGCACATGCATGCATGCATATGTATGTATTGACATGTGTACGGCACTATATCAGAATTCGATTCGGATTGCGTGGTTTGAATTCCACTTGATCAAAACAACGATTAAATCGAAACAGTGTGTGTAATAATTTTGTTAGCGTCAGCTTTTTTCTGAAGTTGAAGTAAAATGAGAGCAAAAAGTAAACAACACACACACACACACACACAAAGAAGCTGTGTGAAAGAAGAGACTGAAGCATTGGGAAATAAAAAACCGTTAAAGTCAGCAAAAACTATCAACATTTTTGGCATACGTGACAATATAGCAACTCTAAATGGCGGCCAGGCTATTTTTTTTTCAATGCTACAGGCAATGTACTTGGATTCTCTCTCTCTCGCTTACTCTCGCTCTCTCTATTGAGTGGGGGTGAAAGTCGCATAGCAAATTGATGATAGAAATGGCAATGGCTATATGTATATTTATGTAGAAGGATATGTCTACGCTAGAACTGATTTGCGTTGTGCATTATGAAATTGTCAATAATTGAACTTGAATTGATAAAGCAACATCGAGAAGGTGATAACACGAATGCGGCAAATACAACGAAGAAAACAGAATGGCATAATCAGCTGATAGATAGCATACACATGCACGCATGACACGTACAGCCCGTTAAACATGGCCAAAAAAACATATATACATACATATATGCACATACATACAGACGGTCACATTCATAATTGAAAATAGTCTAGAATGTCTATTTTAAATGTCCCGTGATTACATAAGCATAAAACAAGCGCATTGTATGCCAAATTGATGGCAAATTGATTTCTATTAACGGGCCACGCTGCCTCTGCAATCGGTCGAGCTGTCAGGTGCACGGACAGCGTTGCCACAGAAATTTTTGAGCATTTTCTAACCAATATAAACTGGAACACTACTCAATTGTGTAATAGCTTGACTATCATTATCTCTGAAGGATTACACTTACCCCAGCCAATTGGAGATGCGACAGCTAGTGGCAAGTAAAAATTAGATACTATAAACAATACAGCCAAAACCAGCTGTTGCAGTGAACACAATTTCATTTTATATAAATTTTGGTATATTTATATCGGAAATGGACGCACGACGATATTTATATTATTCTTAATCCTCTTGTGAACTCGCTCTTGCACGTGCAGTTGAGAGTTTAGAGAAAACGTCGAGCGGGAAGCATGCGTTGCTTAATTTTACGTTAAAATTCACCGTCGGTCTTCGATAGGTGCCCGATGCACCACAAGCTCGAATCACTTAATTCACTAAAGTGAATTGAACAGCCGCTACCTTAAGCGGCCTTATATTGTGCATTGGATATTTTTTAGTACATTTTTGCTGACAAAGTGTTGCCCTATCGTAGAAATGTGTAATTGTGAACAGTGATATTTAATAAATTAAAACAAGTAAGAACATTGGTATATACATATACGTTTTCTTTTTTTTTTTTTTTTTTCAGCAATTTAGTCGCTAAGTTTTGAGTTTCCTGCTTTAATACTGTAGAAAATTAAGTTTTCCCGATTTGCTACACCCTCACTAGGCGTAGACACACAATTTTTGGCCAGTTTATAGAATGAGCCAAAAGTAGCATAACTGTACTGGACGTTTAAGCTAAAAAAATGCGAATATTTTTCGATGTGCTACGCCTCTAAATAGGCGTAATAATTATTTTTGGGTCATCGATAGAGGGTCACCTCCCGATTTTAGTGTGTTGTATTGTATAACCATGTAAAATAACTATTCTCTAATTTCAACTGTATATGAAATGTAAAAGAACAATAAATTAAGATTTTATCATTTTGTTGTTTTGATTTTTTTTGTTATGTTGATTTAGCTCAGTCTGTTAAGAAATATATATGACACCTTCCCATACCTAAAAAAAGTTTGTATTGAAAAGTGCGCCAAGAGAGAGCCCCATCATAGCGGTAAATATTTTGTCGTTATAAACCGATTTCTATCGCCATACATGCTTAAATATGTCGTCCAGCAGGCCGCAACAAACTAAAATAATTATTGATGCTATATATCGATTACTATCGCCATGCGCCTGCAAGTCGTAGCGTGTGTGGGGATCCAGTGTTCGTAAATCAGTGGAGAGTGGGACTCGCACATTGCTCTGCAAATACAACGTTTAATATTTAAAAACAAATGCCATGTACAAAAATGTGCTAAAAGGAGGTATACGTACAGCAAAGCAGGCCTGGAAATTCCGAAACGGTAATTAAACTCAAATTTTCATTGAACAATTTTTTGGATAAAAGCAAAATAATTCGGGCTGCATAACACGGACTCACATCAGCTGTGCGTGGCCCAATTCCTAAACGTACCAAGCGCAAGTGGGTCACACTGTAAGCTTGTTGTTGTTTTTTGTTGTTTTTTTTCGCCACCAGCAGAAGCCGCCAGCAGTTGCTTGCAGTATTTCATACAGTCTCCATATAAATTGTACTCTACCTTAAATTAATAACATATACATATACATATATATATATAGTGTTCGATTAAATTTAACGTTAACGGTCTTTGAAACGTCATACTTGCAGAACTTGGTAAACTCAATTTGGACTTAGCCAAAGCAAATTCCGATTTTGAACAGCATTTGTGTGAAGGTGAGAATAGTACAGCCAACTGATGTAAAAACCCTTCGATTCCTTCTCCTTCCATCTCCCTCTCACTCTTTAGCCCACCCCAGCCTGCAGCTTGTTTCCAACGTTAACAATATAAACAACGAAAAAAGCGCTGCTAAACGCATTTCACGATGTGTTAAATACTATAATAATATTAGTAATAATAGTAATAATCCTTTGTGTTAGTATTCGTTCACTTCTAGTTTCAGTGTGCAATCCGCTACCCGCCGCACGCTCACCCGCAACTAAACCATATTCAACTGCAGCGTGGAAACTGGCTCTGCTGAGCTTTTGTCGTCGCGCTTGTGCTTTTACTAACGCCCCCTGGTTACGCCCACGCCTCTGCCTGTATACCCTGTGCCTTAATACCGCTGATAAGTATTCTGCGTATATACTCTGTTCAGAGAGTTGCCACCTAAGCACCTTGACCTCATCGAAGCAGTTTGTGAAGGTACAGAAACAGTTCTATCGCGACTACTCTGACGTCTCATTGGGCGCTCCACTGAAAACCACTGACGCACCCTTGCTGGGTGATCTGTGTAATCGATATCGCGATATACTCGCTCGAACATCGGCCGATTTGCTTGATCCGCGTGCAGGACAACAACAACAACAATTAAGTTCTAATCGAGGCATTCACAGCTGTTGCAAACGTCGTCAAGAGGAACAGTTATACAGTCACAACAATATGGCCCCATCGGATGAGAGCGAATTTCAGCGTCTGCCCACATGCGTGGTGCCAACGCATTACGAGCTAATGCTACAGCCCGATCTGAAAGCATTTAGTTTTACGGGCAAGACAATTGTGCAAATAAGTGTAAGTACCGTTATATTACATTACGCTTAGTTACGTGTTTTCTGTTTGTTTTCGTTCACTTTGCAGCCTCTGGCCACTTTCGCTTTCACTTTGAATACAAATCATAAATATGTATGCAGGTCTCTCTTGCTCTCTCACTCAACGTTTGCTCGTGAATTTCATTTCTGACGTGTGCAAAAAAAAACACCTTTTCCCTTACACACACATATAAGCGCGCGCGCTAACTTGACTGTGTTGTGCATTTACGTGTGTGTTCCAATGAGATTTTCTCTTTATGTTACAATTTGCATGCAGGCTACATTCGATGAACATTTTTCTTTGTTATGCATTGGCAACAGCGAAGACAGCCATTTGTTATGGAGACATATACATATGTACACACATATATGCATTTGTATATAAATAGATAAATATATATTATATATACATATATATATATATATATATATATATATATATATATTATATATATTTAAAGCGCATTGCGCCGCATTAGTTTGCGAACCATCCTTCTCTAGTTCGTTCACTTTGTCGACGCATCTGCTGATCTCATAACGGTACACATATTGTGTTTACGTTTATCGCAAGACGCAGCTGCAACGGGTTTCATGCTTTAAATTTTAAGCGCGAGTCAAGTACACTATATATAGTAAAATATATAAACAAAAATGCTTCTGTAAATTAAAGCTGTGGCTGCTGTTTCAGCTGAAATACAAACAAAACGTTTGCCAAAACGAGTTTAAAGCGGCCCGGAAACCGGGCACATAATAGACACTCAATAAGTGAAACACGCGTAATTCGGATACCTATTAAAAACAAAAATTAATAGTAATACAAATCGCCGATCGTTTTAAATTGTTTCAAAAAGATTTGGCGAATTTCATGCTCCATCATTTGTGACCTTGAAATTGTGAAATGATATCGTGTTTGTTTGGATGTTATCTTCTCGGCTGTGGGCTTCGTATCATACATATATATTATTATTTATATTCATATTTATCTACCCTTTGATAAAAATGAGTGGGGTATTGGAGAGTCATTGTCCATCTGAATGTTTCTACTCTCGTTATCAACAGTCATAAGATTTTATTTTAGATATACTGTCGTTCCTTATAATGCTTGTATATATATCTTAGTCTTTTGCGGCCTAATAGAGCGTTCAAATATTGCTCACTATTCATTTATAGAATATACAATATGTAAACTGATGAGAATTACATGAAAAGTCATCATACGTAACGTATTACCTCTTGCTCTTAGTATTTGTCCTTTTAATAAATATTTTTTGAGGATATATGTTAGTGCAGTACACCACTATTGTCTTTTGGTAGTGTGATAAATGATGACAGCACTCAATAGATATTCAATTATATATGTGTCTATATAATAGACGATCGTAGACTTGTTGCTCGTTTTTGCGCTGCAGTTCCTCGAAGTATTTAAAATTACAGTTATTATTATTATGTCTATTATGTTTTGCAGGTCATAGAGCCAACGACTCGCATTACCCTCAATGCGCTGGACATAACGATCGAGGGAGCAGAGTTTCAATATGAATGCGAGAAGCTTAAGGCACAGCAAATTATCTACTCCAAGGAGAAGGAGACGGCCACACTGGATTTCCAAAAGCAGCTGCCAGTGGGCACACCAGGCGTCCTGTACATGACCTTCACCGGGGAGTTGAATGACAAGATGAAGGGCTTCTATAGGAGCAAATACTTTACGGCCTCTGGCGAGGAGCGCTATGCGGGAGTCACCCAATTCGAGGCAACGGATGCCCGTCGCTGCTTTCCCTGCTGGGATGAGCCGGCCATTAAGGCCACCTTCGACATAACGTTAACAGTGCCGAAGGATCGTGTCGCTCTGTCCAATATGCCGGTGAAAAAAGAGGATATCCTGCCCAGCGGCTTGCGTCGCGTACGTTTCGATCGCACACCCGTTATGTCCACTTACCTGGTAGCCGTTGTTGTGGGAGAATATGATTTTGTGGAGGCTAAGTCGGATGATGGAGTGCTTGTGCGCGTCTTCACACCTGTTGGAAAGAAGGAGCAAGGACAGTTCGCATTGGAGGTGGCCACCAGAGTGTTGCCCTACTACAAGAGCTATTTTAATATTGCATATCCGCTGCCTAAAATGGATTTGATTGCCATATCGGATTTTTCAGCGGGCGCTATGGAGAACTGGGGTCTGGTCACCTATCGCGAAACGTTCGTCCTTGTAGATCCGAAGAATACGTCTTTGATGCGAAAGCAATCGATTGCTCTCACTGTGGGTCATGAGATTGCCCATCAATGGTTTGGTGAGCGAATGATCAAAGTCTGTATGTAATCCTTGCTAATGCTCTGCTTTATTCCAGGCAATCTGGTTACCATGGAGTGGTGGACCCATTTGTGGCTAAACGAGGGATACGCCTCCTTTGTGGAGTTCCTTTGCGTCCATCATCTGTTTCCCGAATACGACATTTGGACACAGTTTGTCACGGATATGTATACTCGTGCTTTGGAATTGGATTCGTTAAAGAACTCGCATCCCATTGAGGTGCCAGTGGGTCATCCCTCAGAGATTGATGAGATCTTTGATGAGATTAGCTATAACAAAGGCGCCTCGGTCATACGCATGCTCCACGATTACATTGGCGAGGATGATTTCCGCAAGGGAATGAATATTTACTTGACCAGGCATCAGTATAGCAACACTTGCACCGAGGATCTGTGGGAGGCTCTGCAGGAGGCCAGTTCCAAGAATGTGGGCGCTGTCATGTCTAGCTGGATCAAGTACAAGGGCTTTCCGGTTGTCACCGTTGAGTCCAAACAGAAGAGTGAAACACAGCGTGTGCTGCGCTTGACTCAGAGTAAATTCACAGCGGATGGCTCGCAGCCAGCTAAAAATAACTTGTGGGTGATACCCATTTCGGTGTCCACATCGCGTAATCCCAATCAGATTGCCAAGACTTTCCTTCTTGAGAAGGAATCCATGGAAATTGTGCTGGATAATGTGAGTGCAGATGACTGGATCAAAATCAATCCAGGCACAGTTGGCTACTATCGCACTCGCTACTCCAAGGAGATGCTGGAAAAACTAATGCCCGCTGTGGAAAGCATGCAGCTGCCCCCGCTTGACAGACTCGGTCTGATTGATGATATGTTTGCCATGGTGCAGGCTGGCAAGGCCAGCACCGTCGATGTGCTCCGATTGGTGGGGAGCTATCGAAACGAGACCAACTATACCGTCTGGACAGCCATTACCAATTCGCTTACCAATCTGCACATTCTGATCTCCCACACGGATCTTATGGATGACTTTAACATCTTTGGACGCAGCCTTTACGAACCGGTGGCCGCGCGTTTGGGTTGGGAACGACGTGATAATGAGAATCATTTGGATACGCTTCTGCGTAGCCTGGTACTCACTCGTCTTGTCTCCTTCCGCAGCCCGGTGATTTCGGAGACAGCACGTAAACGTTTTCGTAGCCATGTCAACGGCACCAAGATACTGCCTGCTGATTTGCGTAGCACTTGCTACAAGGCCGTGCTGCAAGATGGGGACACAGCGATCTTTGAGGAGATGCTGCAATTGTACCGTTCCACCGACCTGCACGAGGAACAGGATCGCATTTCACGCGCTCTCGGTTGCATTGGCGATGTAAACCTGCTGCGACGTGTCATCGATTTTGCTATGTCGGTAAGTGATCTGCATTTCTCTGTAGTGTATATACATGCGTATATATAATGTCAATGCTTGCCATTCCTTGTAGGGTGAAGTGCGTGCCCAGGATTCGGTATTTGTTATTGTCGCTGTGGCCCTCAATCCCAAGGGTCGCGACTTGGCCTGGGAGTTCTTCAAGGAAAACAGCAAGCAGCTGCTGGAGCAATATCAGGTAATAAACTAACCTTTATAGCATTGCTCATTGACTCGCTAACACTACTTTGGTCTGCTTGTAGGGCGGATTTCTTCTAACACGTCTCATCAAATATTTGATCGAGAACTTTGCCAGCGAGGAGAAGGCACGCGAAGTGGAGGATTACTTCAGGACCAACCAGATACCTGGTTGTGAACGCACAGTCTCGCAGGCTGTAGAGACCATACGTCTGAATGCCGCATGGCTAAACCGCGATCGTGAATTGCTGACCAATTATCTGCGCGATCTTTAGGCGTGGCCGAACCGTGCGTAACGCATACCAAAGCATTTAGCAAACAACTTCAACTGCAAACCAGAACACGACCAAAGCTGTCACAACTAACCCCTTTACCATACCTTACCCCATTTTCCTAAATAGTTTAGCAATGTTAAGCAGCAACTTCAACAGAGCAACTCGACTTCCTCCTGCTCCTGCTCCTTTACAGATGGAGGAACAAGTGACATTTATGATTCGAGATCGATGAAAACATGTCTGTGCTGCACTTATGTCTTTTACACTCATACAAAAGTTATGTTGAGTTTATGACGATCAATAAATGCAATTCAAATTTAAAGTCAATAAATTGGTCTTAAGGAAAGCATCCTAGCAGACCAACTAATTCGCAAATTTTTGTTTTTAATATGGGAATTTTTTAATTTTTCTTCCTCTGGAATACTTGCTTTATATAATTTTTGGTTCATCAGGGTTGTTATTGTTGTGTTCAAATTTAAGGGATTTGCGTTTAAGCTCCTGCGATTGCGCCCAGAAATTGGCCAAACGTTGCTCAGCATTCGAGCAAAACTCACGGAAATCCCTCAGCATTTTCAGTTGAAACAGCTCTCCATCCGCTGAATTATTAATGGTCAAGGCTTTCCACTTTTTGTTGGGTATCATATGGTTCCACGACCAAAGAAAGCCCACCTTTTTGGGCACGTTCGTATTATTTGTATGTCCATAGACACAACGCGTGACATTCGCCTCCTGGCGACTCGGTGACTCCACCTGGAACTTGTTGCTGGCGCATCTGAAACAAACGTAAGAAATAATTGGTCATAATATCTATATGGAGTGTGTTATCAATACCGTATTAGAGCGAACATGTTGCCAGTGCAATGCACATACTGATATTCCTTTGGCAGCTGCAAAGTGGAAAAAGAAATGATAATTTATGATATGATATCATATATTCAGCTACTTACGTCCTTCTTTTGGTTAGATTTCTCCTCCAAAACGCAGGGCAGAAATCCAAATCTAGCCAGTATAGCCTCCTGCAGGAAGAGCATGCGATCCGAGCGGCTGTCCTCAGGAAATTCTGCAAGATTGGAATTATTGGCTATATAGTTACCAATCAAAGAGTTGGAGCAATGCACGCGTACCATCAAAGAGGCCTTTGCCTTCTGGCAAAAAGTTGACGCATAAGGGAATGAAAATGGGACCACGCAATGGGTCTGATTTTTCTGTAAAAGGCTCAGCCATAGGATCAGCGGGTACAGGGACCAGCTGATAGCCACATTGAATTGCTTTGCGCATCCATCCGGCAATCTGACATTGCGAAAACAAATTAATATGATTTGATTCATGAAAATGACATATATTTGTATATACTATACCAAATCGGAAACAATGGGTCCCGATGAGGTCACCCACTCCACGACCAGTTCAAAGGCAAAGCCTGGCTGCATCACAGTGTGATGCTTCACATGACCCCATTCCATTCGATCGCTCTTCTGGTTCACATCAATCTCCAAATGCGATTTACGACAAACGCGCTCTGAAAGCAAACAATGGAATAAAATGAAAATTTGAATAGGATAGAAAATGTACATTATTTACTCACTGCTCTTGGAATATGCCGTCCAGGATTGAGGAGCTGGTGTATCACGCAAAAAATTGGGAACATTTGAAGGTGAAGGTTCATCGTACCACAAAAAGTTGCAACCCTGCAGTTCAATCTCCAGCCACTCATTAACAAAGGCGCTGTAGTCGTTAAGAGGCGGGGCATAGTCTGTCAAAACAACGTATATAAACCAATAGGAGCTTCATTTTTTTCTGATGAAATCACCTTTAGCATTCTTATCCTGCTGCACCACATAGTAAAAGACAAAACCTGGCACAATGGGCTGATTCCAATCACCAGAGGCGTGGCAAATCATGCGCTCTCTACAAAACGCATTTTGATCAAATTGAGCAACGGTTTAAAGCTTTCCACTCACGTGCGCATGGCCTCCAGAATATCTAAAGGATGTCGACCATTTGTTATACGCGCCCTTAGCCACATCAGCGCATCGTATGAAATGAAAGTGCAGGAGGGCAACGATTGGGTTTGGGTAAAGAAGCCAACACCATTTACCGGATGCTTCATGGCCTCGAACATCTCCGTCAGCGTAGCATTCGGGCTAAACTTTATATCCACTGGAAAGCTGACATACAAAGTAGTTAAGTGTCACAATATTATCTCTTTCCAATAGACTGCTTACCCATCATCCTGATCGTCACGTGGCCCAGTTCCATTTGGAGCTGCAGTGGCTGCATCTGTCCCGGGAAGATTGCGGGAAATCCGACCTGGTTCCACTTTAGGGCGCACATTGATGCTACGAAGGAAGATTTAGAATCGGTAAAACTGCCAAATCGACAAGCATAAAGTGACTTTTGTCGTGGATTGGTTGTGGAAGGATATACAGCGATTTTGCGTGTGTGAATGTGAATGTGCGAATTACAAATGCATTCAATGGATTTTCCCCATTAAAAGGTGTGGCGAATTCGTGAATGGGACGTGTGTTAGTGCGTGTATCGCAACATGAAATGTTCACGATTGAGCAATACTAAGCTCTTTTTTTCACTCTCACGCTGTCACTTAACATTCACCACACCGATTCTGGGTCTCTTGAATTAAGATAAATGATGCACGTGTGTGTCTCCGTTTCTCTTTATTCCACTCGTAGCAAATCAAAATAGTGTGGGAAGTTTAGTATATTGGGAACAGGATGTCATTGGGTAAGGCTATTACGATATTGGCACAAACCTTTGCAGTGGTGAATTTAATAGATTATGATTCTTTTCTGTGATTCTAGGTGTGGGTGTATCATGCTGCTGAAAGCCAAATACCAAATTAAATAGTAATAAGAAAAATAAAACAAATAAGGTATTAAATTATGTAATAAGCATAAATATAAAATATTCTACAAGCTAAGTGCATAACAACATAGAAGATCTACAAAAGTCAATCACCAAATTGTTTATAGGCAGGGGAGGCAAATGACAATGGGACAATGGGGCAACAGGGCAATTACAATTAAGCTTGGTTCCGCAAGCGCAGTACTACATATGTATACAGATGCAAATCAAAGTGTAAGTGTAAGAGTGTGTGCGTGTGTGTATGTGAATGTGTTTGATTTTTTTGGATACGATATAAAAACCTGGGTCTCTTCTCTGGCAAACGATTGCTGCCGACGCGCTCACGAAACGGCGAGTTCGTGAGCCCCTGCGACGACGAGAGTGTTGTAGTTGCGCAGGATACACAGACAGAGAGGTTGGCATTGAAGGGGCGGGGCACAGGCGAGACGGAAGACAAGTTAAAGAAAATTAGAAATATGATATTGGGCATCGTTTTCAAGAAAAACTTGATGAAAATCAAAGCGTGCGCCAAAAAAAAACAACAAACAGAATGTGCGCAGCGCGAAAAAAGAAAACAAATCACAATAAAATATATATGCATGTATCTACAATATTCAGTTAGATTGGTAAAGTGGATAGATAACCTGGTTGAGAGGCCTGGAAATAATGCTCGTACTGTGTCGCCGCTTAGTAAAGCTGTTGGTGGTGGGGCTATCCTGCAATTGGACATTGGTTAAGCGATAAGCACTACATTTACAGTTACATTCACAATTAACATAAACGAAAGTAAGTGGCAAAACACAGCACGTTTAACACACTGACGGTGTTACAGCTGCAACGGGTTGGAACTGGAACTAGAAATCGATAAACGATCGATAACTATAGCCGCCAAATTTAAGTCAATAACAAACTAGATCAATTGCACATTAAATAGATAATATCGTAGCCAGCTTACGCGCGCTTTGCGACAGATTTGTCGTCTTAACTTGCTGACATTCTCGATGAGTCGTACAAAGTCCTCGATTTGGTCACGGGTATTGTCCACAACAGCATCCGTAAAGATGTCGCAACGCTGGCAGCCGCAGTTGACGATCTTATTGACCACGGTGTCCTTTGGCAGCAGATACATGCGAAACCGCCAGTATTTGAGACTCTGCAAAAGCAAGGAAAGGAAATAAATGGTGGCTAATGCTCAGCATGCTCACCTCCATTAGTGGATAGTCAACATCGCCACGCGTACATATGTATAAATCCATGTGATTCCAGCTAAAGTTTTCCAGTTTCTCAGTCGTAAAGTTAACGCCAGAGATTTCATAGGTCTCATGCTGTGGTGCATGGAATCGATAGCGATAATCGACATTAATTGGAGGATATGGATGCCTATGAAGAGGAAAAATTAAAAATTGAAAATATACAAACTATTGCAAATCACACCTGGGCTTATAGCCAGTCACTGTAATAACTGAACCACTCAGCGAGATCTTGTGAAATATGCGTCCTATGGATAATAGGTATTCCTTGTTCGTTTCGCAGGGCGGCTTCATGGGTAACACTGCCGATGTGCCCAGATTATTAGCTGAGGGAGCACAGCTCCCATTCGTCGAGCAGCAGCTGTTGGAGCTGGGCTGTTTTTCCTCGAAGACAATCAGCTGAAAGCCCTGGGCCAAACGCTGTGAAACAATCTCCTTACACACCTCCTCCGTGGACAAAGGTTTGCGATAGACTGCACGACTTTTGGCATAATCCAGATTCACATCATCCGGCAGCAAGGTATAATCCGAAATGACATAGTCATTGTGCAACGACCGCTTATCGGGAAAGTAATCCGTGGTTATGGGAAGACAGGCGGGTATGGATAGAGATTTCCAGTCGACCCCTGAAAGCGGCAAAAGTGATCAAAAAAGCAACACAAGCCAAAACCAAGCAGAAAACGCCGCAGCGTGCAGTTGAGCAAATGTGTTCAAGGTATGTAAATAGAAAAAGCCAACGCCGATACGAGATACAATATATAAATATATAAATAGATAATTATAAGTTTCACAATTTTCAAATCGCGTAAGCTCTATATATTTAAATGACCAGTTGCTCCAAGTATACGAAAATTAAAACCAGCTTCAGAGGTTTTTTAGATTAATTTCGAGTTTTTAGGATTTTTGGTCAAGAATAATAAAAAGGAGGGTGCGTGCGTGCGTGCAATGATCAGTGGGCGTGGCTGAAAAGCATGCGATCACTACAAAAAATAAAAAGAAACAAAGAGAAGCTTGTGCAGCTCATGCTACATGCGTCAGGCTGAAATATAGTATTCCAGTGAAGTATAGTAGTCCAGCACCTTGTTCAAATTGTGTGAATAGATGTGCATAGGGTGGTTGGGTGGTGAGCAAAATGTCGGTAGTATAGGGCGTTTACTAAAGACACGCTACAGCTCAACTAACTACGGTTACGGTGAATTGCGGTTACCAAATTTTCTAATTTGCGCTTGAGCTACACACATACATGTACAGGCGAGAGTCTTT